ATATCTGAGTGTGCTGCCTGTGGCTGTATATTTATATCTCTCTGTCTAATGCAAGGGGGTGGGAGATTAACACCCAGGGCAGCCAAATGCACCCTTGTAAGGTATGATGCACAAGAAAAGCTGGGTTTTGGAGGCAGCTGGTCATTTTCTGACTTACCCCTGAAATATTCCAGGGGAGGAGGTTGGCAAAGCCTCAGCTGCTGGTCATTTGACAGCTGCTGCCAGTCAGAGGGGAGCCCAGGGAGTGAGGGTAAGGCCTGCCAGCAGCACTGTTTGCTGTGGGTGCTAGGCAACGGGCAGCAAGGGTGGCATTAAAAAGGTCATCCCTTCCCCTCCAAACCCCTAGCCCAGAGCTGGCCCTGAGCAGTCCCCAAGATTGAACTCCTTAACCCCTCCTTCCCTCCCCACTCAAGCCCTCCTTTAGGCGGAAACACGGACTCCCCAGGGTCCCAGAAACTCCTCCACCTCCAGGCCTTTGTTCTTGCTGTTCCCTCTACCCAGAACACCCTTTCCAGCTCTTCACATCCCAGTTTCTACTCTTCCTCAGGTCTCAGCTTACATGTCATCCCCTCAGAAAGGCCTTTCCTGATATGTCCCCTCCCCCCACATGAAGGTCCACCCACTTACTGGGATCATCACCTTGTTTATTTCCTGTACAGCACGTATTACAACCTGCAATATTATTGCTTCTTTTCAATTCCCTCTCTGCTTCCCCCACTAGAATGGAAGCCCCCTGACATTGTGTGACTTATTTACTGCTATGTCCCCAGGGCCTAGCACAGGGCTTTAGCATATAATAGGATCTCAATAAATAGATAGATAGATAGATAGATAGATAGGTAGATAAAGTTGAAGGAAAGCAGGATGGCCCTATCTAGGCTATTCAGGCAACATTTGATGCTTGCTATGTGCCAGGCCTGGGCCACTCACCATCAAGAAGCCCCAGTGTACTCAGGGAAACAGACATATGCATGTGCCCAGGTTGTGTATACCAAGGCAGAGTGAGGCGGTGAGGCTGTAGGGTTCAGCGCACTTGGCAGACATTGGCACTTGGTCTGTGCCAGACTCTGTGTCAGAGCAAATAGCTTTATTTGGCCCAGACCCCTGCCTGCAAAGAGCTCACAGGATAGAGGATGCTAGAACTGTCTCCTGGGGAAACGAACCCATGCAGAGAATAATGCCAAATCACTGAGCTGAGTGATGGGCTCTGAGAACCGGGGATGGCACAGCCTCGGGGACAAACCTGGGCCTGAAAAGATGACCGTGGATGCTCTGCGACAGGCACAGATGCTTTGAAAAGCAAGCACAGCCACTGTCTCTCAGCCCCTCCACAAAGCAGAGTCCAGGAAGAGAAGAGCTCTGGGCTAGCACCTCTCGGCCTAGCCTCCGCTCTCCAAGCTTCTCAGCCCTGCTTCTGTCCTGGGGCTGACTCCTGCTGACAGTCTCACCTGGGCCCCCTTGCCTTTTGGTTTCAGGTGGAGTTTGGCCATAGGAGACACCGGCAGGAGATCAGAGGGAAGGAGGAGAGTGAGATCAGGATATTTATAATACCTCCTTCCCCTGTGATTTTGCCACCTCCACCCCAAGTTCCTGTTGGTTGGCCTGCACCCATGGATACATCTCTCTCCAGGTTCATTAACAAGGCTCCCTTTCCTCCCTTGGTTCCTTCGGGCCTGTGGGGAGTGACTCCATTCCACTATTGTGACCCCAGGGTGCTTCACCATTCCTGCCTGCATCTCTGTGAATAGTCCCTTCATTAAACCCTCTTCTGGCAAATACTTTGAGTGTTCCCCTGTTTCCTGCCGAGACCCCTGAGGTAAGAACTACCCCCAGGGAAAATGAGCCCTTGGCAGAGAATTTGGGGGAGACCCTCTTTCTAAATCACCACCAAAAACCAGAATCTGAAAAGTTGTGAACAGATCAAAATCCCATCCTGGGTGAATAGTGACCTCCTGCTACCCTCCAGGCAGGGTCCCAAGAGGTCCCGCTTAGCTCACCTTACTCAGGCTTAGGCCTATAGTGACCCTGGCCAGAACAGGTCGGGGAGGGGGCTATGAGGGTGGGGAGGGATGGGGGGATGACTGGCAGAGGGTGAGCTTGGCAGTAGCGAGGCACCAGAGGGCAGCAGTTTCCACCGTACCCCAGGGCCTGCCCCACATGACCTTTCGAACCCAGCCTTCCTGAACCTCAGTTCCCTGCCTGTGAAATAGGCAATTAACACTCTCTTCACAGGAGTGTTATGCATCAGTCAAATGTGAGGCTCCGCACGCCAGCGCCAGCGAGCCGAAGTGAGCTGAGAGTAGAACATTCCCCGTTATTACTGCTGCAGGTGGAGGCCATTCTGCTGCGTTTCTGTGCGCCGAGAGCTCTAGCCAACCATCCGGAGGTGGCAGGAGGCTGGCGGAAGATGCCCCAGCTGGGCCCCCCAGCCACTGCTTCAAGGGAGCACGGGTTCAAAGCCAGGCTTTGGAGGCAGCAGGCCCAAGCCTAAAGCCTGCCCTGCACTTACTTTGTGACCTTAGGAAAGTCACTCTACCTCTCAGAGATGGTGTTTTTCTCTGTAAAATCGGGTAACACTTCACCTTATGGGTTTGCTGTGAGCATGAACTGAGGATACAAAAAGCATTTAGTCAAGTACTGATACATTGGGAGTGCCCCCCCAAAATATTAGCTATTTGTGTGCGTGTGTGTGTGTGTGTGTGTGTGTAAAATATTAGCTATTTGTGTGCGTGTGTGTATGTGTGTGTTTAGTTTTTCTTAATTTTTTTGTATTTTTGTTCTGGCTATTATTTTTTAAAACCCCCCTTTCTCCTTCTTACTGCAGTACATCTGTCTATTTATTCCTTCATTTGCTTCTTTATGCATTCATTTCAACATTTATCAAGCCAGCAATGATCTAAAATCTAGGAACACAGAAACTAGGAAATCATCAAAGCAAGAACAATATCTGTCCTTCTTCCCGCTGTCTCCCTAGATCCCAGGTTTTCAGTAAATAGTGTCTGAGTGAGTGAATCATATTGGCTGTTTTCTTGAGCCCTTCTACATGTCAGGTGCTAAGCTAAGCGCTGCGTCTGCATGATTGCACTGAATCCTCAGAACGTCGACAGCCCTGTAACATAGGACTTTAAGAAAGCTCACTCCCTGCCTTGGCTGGTGTGGCTCGGTTGGTTGGAGCGACATCCCCTGCACCAGAAGGTGGCAGGTTTGATTCCTGGTCAGGGCACATCCCCAGGTTGCATGTTTGATCTCCAGTAGGGACACACGTTCAGGAGGCAACTGATTGATGCTTCACATGGGGAAAAAAATTTTTTTTAAAGCTCACTTACTGGTGGTAAAATTGAGACTCGGAGAGGTGAAGTAACTTAGTTGACCAAAGACACACATGCAGGAAATAGTGACGCTCAAATTCGGTACACTGCCTCCACTAGTGACTGAATTATTATTATTTTTTTTATCATCACCATTATTATGCCTGACCTCCAGAGGCTTACAGTCTAGTAAGAGTGTCCAGGGGCCGTTTCCTCTTTGGACTTAGTGGGAGGGGTTCTGGGTACGGCCGCAGACTTTGGCAGAGTTGGGTTCAAATCCAGGTCTGCAACTCTGGGTCAGTTACTTAAGCTCTGTGAACCTCAGCTTCCATTTCTAGGAAATGAGATTGAGTGGGTGTTAAATGAGAAAATGTGGAGGAAATGCCCAGCTTCTGTCCAGTATATAAAAGTCGCCTCATACGTGTTATTCTCTTTATTTTCTATTTTCTTCCCCGCCAGCTGGGACCCTTGTCCTGGCACCTATGCGGGTGCTGACCACGCCTGCAGAGGACACCGCGCTCAG